GACAAAGTTTTTCAGAACATGCCATTTTCTTACAGGAAAATGTAAGAATGAATCACTGTGTGCTGAGGTTAAGGAAAACCAACGTGAAATGTATGAGAATTCGCAAGCAGTGGTAATGATTTGGCACACGACTGTGCTGAGGGGTATTAACTGCCAAAATCAAGGGTTTGCAGACAAAGAGGTTTTAGCATATGTTTTAGAAAATGGATGTAGCAGAAAACATTTGTCACAACATTTGTCATTTGTTCCACCCAATTGGTTTTCACTAACAATTGTGTACAGTTGTTTCAGGCCCTGCCTGCAACATGAACAGAACTCCCTTCAAAAGAAGAAGAAAAAAAAAAAAAGGAAAGGTAAATAAGGGAGAAAGAAAAGGCAGAAAAGAGATAGTGACAGGTTGAAAAGACTCTGAAAACACATAAATATGAATCAATGTTGTTTTCTGATAGAAGCACTATTATTTAAAATATTGAAATTATTTGAAAGCATATTTTAGAAAGCGAAATCAGAGTACCCCTATATATAGGGGTGTTTAAATGAAAATAACCAAGGATGTGATTATTGGATGTGCCCCAGTGTTACCTAATGAATTAATTTATTCTTTTGGCTACTTGTTCACTTTTTGGTTTTCCAATCTTCCCAGGCATAGTTCGTTCAGTCACTGTTTTTTACTGCTCCGTCATAAATCTTTGGTGGCAAGACAGTGTGATCCTATGTTCCTTTCAGAAACCTACTTTCTCCTCACGATACCTTGTCTTCAGGGACAAAACTTTCTGAGTCTTGAGGGGTGAGTGTTACCCACAGGGAATGTGATAGCTGAAGAAGACAATTTACTGTATACTTTCGATGCATAGGACATCTTTATAGATCTGAAGGCATCCTTGTACTTTTTTTTTTTCTCATGACTTAGATTTGCTCTAAATTTAGGCAGTGGTGGTTCAATTATTGTGCCACGAAGCAACTTTAACCCTTCGTGCTGGGTACAAAGTGGTGAGGCACTTCATTAAGACTGAGCACCAGCTGGCATTTGCAGAGGCATGTTTGAGAAATACATCTCATGTCACTTACTTCTTGATAGTGAGACTGCAGCAGTAATACATTCTGTCCTGGGCAGAGTGCCTAACTCCCCAGGGTGCACACCAAGCAGAATTGTTCTGCCTTACCACATCATCTTTTGTTTGCTTAGCCGCTTTTATTTTCCCCCCCATCCTTTCAGTAAATTCAGTATCATGTTATGATCCCATAACATGTTTCATTGCTTAAGGATTTTTAACTTCAATCAGACTCTCACTTAATAGAGTGAAACATCAAGATAATATCATTTTGGAAATTATAAGCAAAAAGCAGATCAGGGTTGATTGAGTTTATTGACAATTTCAATGTATCTAACATAGTCAGTTACTTGAGATGCAAACAAACATGTTATAAAATGCTATTGCCACAAACAATTTTAGATAAAGAATGCTTGTGAGTATCCCAACATGAAAAGATGAAACACATCCTTTTGTCTCCTATGTACTATGGAAGTCAAATGAGCTATTAACACACCTGTTGGTCAAAATCAATTCAAAACAAAGGAAGGTGACACCACTAGAACATAGGTAGTCAGGAGTTTGAATGTTTAAAACACGAGCAGTTTTCCGATATGGATTTTATTTGCTAGCCCTAACCTTGAGTGTCTTATTAATCTGCTGAATGCCTCAATTTCCTTATCTGAAACAAACAAACAAATAAAGCTAATAAGGTTAACAGCTTCATCGCTTTACTCTGGCACTGAATTAGGTGGTGCAGTTTATGAAGTGCTTGCAGCAGTAGTTAATGCATAGGAATGATATATCCACATTGTCTGTGAGAGGCCTTTAGGCAGAATTGTAGGCAGCTGTGCCACTCCCATCTAAAGACCAGATGACTCCTGCTCCAGGTTCTTGGGTAAAATATTTGTCCCTGCTTGTTTCAAAGATATAAGGTGAAAAGGATTCAGGAAGGGATAAGTGTGCTTCAAAACTAGTAATCTAAATTCAAAAAATACAATCTCTCTGCTTGATGATTTCAATATTTAGTTAATTTGAGTAACTACCTTGTTAATATGCCCTAATTGGGTCAACTAGATTTCACCATTGCTCTCCATCTCTCAGCAAAAATCATTTGTTTAAGGAGTGTGCAAAGCATCTTGCAAATGGACTTAGACAAGAGCCTTAGTACATTCTATAAATTGCATTCTGTATACTTGTAAATTATGCTGACAGGCACTTCTGGAGCACAATGAGGTCAAAACGGTCTCATTGAAGAAGGCCTTTTCATGTACCCGAGCCGATAACCGAAGCAAGGATCATAAGGCCACCATGTCACATGTGAAAAAGTTATTCAAGCCAATCTAACACAATAGTTACTTTTTAGATAATCTTAAAAGAAGCTGAATAATGCAATTCTTAAAATGTATAGCAATAGAATAGGATCTCACTATCAGCTTTGTTGAGACAGAACCAATTATATGAAACTGTATGTTGCAATATGTAAAGTATAAAAACCAACCATACTAAGCCATTATTTCACAGTATTAGAGGGCTTGTAGTGTGAAAGGGAACCACTGTCTGCATGCAATTAACAAAATTAAAAAAAAAGCAGAGTATAAGTATCATAAGCCAGAGGTTAACCTGAAAGAACAAGACAGCATTGAATTGATCTACTTAATTCCAGTTCATTCATGTAACTGCTGTTTAACAGGTCCTACTATGTGCCAGGTCAATGAACCTAGCCCTATGCTCAAATTGTCATCTCTAATTTTCAGGTTGCTTCAACTCCAGAGCTAGAAACACCTGAATCAAAACCAAGTAACCCTCCCCTAAGAAACTAACCAATTATACCCTGCCAATAATATATTGGGTAGGTTGCTCAAATCATTTATAATTTTAATGTTAATTAACACTCTTTACAAAGCATCCTCTGCCAGAGTAATGGCTCAATGGCTAAATCATCACCTTGCAACCACTAGAATCACATAGGGGTGCTGGTTCGCGCCCAGCTGCTTCAGTTCCCATGCAGCTTCCTGCTTACAGCCTACGAAAACAGTATAGGATGGCCCAAGCCCTTGGCACCCTGCACTTGCATGGGAGACCTGAAGGAAGCTCCTGGTTTCTGGTTTCAGATCGGCCCAGTGGTTTCAGTCACTTGGGGAGTGAACAAACAGCTTTCTCTCTGTTTTCCTTCCATTAGTCAATCTGATCTGCCTTTACAATAAAAATTAATGACTTTTTAAAAAGCATCCTCTTTATGGCTGGAGGAGGAAAACATCTGTTTTCTGTAAACCATCCTGATTTTCCTGTACAACTTGAAATGAAAGCACTGGGCTTTTTACCTAAACCAAAATGTTTTTCTTAGGGCGGCTCTACACCATCATTTATGGCAGTAGAAATGTTGATTTTCATCCTGTATACTTAATTTCTGCTAAATATATTTGAACAATACTTAAATACCTTTGAACAACAATGGAAAACACTTGGTAGACCCAGGCACCTCACATGGTCAACTTAACTTTCCACAGACAGGTCACTTTGCATTTGATTGAAAAGATAGAGCTTGGCCACTTACCCATCCCAAATCATGCCCATTTCAGGCTGTCGGTGAACTTTAAACTTCTCATTGCTCTGGCAATTTTTCATATCTGATTATTAAGTGGAAGGGCTTTTCTGCTATATTCCCGTTTGGGAAGTACAGATTACAGCGGAGGAAACAGAACGCCCACAAGGATGGAGTGCACTTAAAGGAAAAGTAGCCCCATCGTTCCAAATGCTAATTTTTATGATCCATACTTCTTTTGCTTTCGGCAGGGCATCAGGACTGGGACTCTGGATATTGTTTTTGGGCCCTGGGTGCCTACTCACCTTGTCACTAGCTCTGTTTAGAAATTTGAGCTGTCTGTGTATTTCCTTCCAGTTGCCTAAAATCAGAAAAGAACTGGCTAAACTGCAGGAGCTCTGGAAGCATCTACAGGTGACCCTTTGCACCAGGCTAGTGCACCCTACTGATGTCCAAGGCATGAATTAAGAAGGCAAACCTACAAGGGATGGGCTGGCTGGCTCCTTTCTATCTCCCCTCCCCTCCCTCTCAAATCCCAAAGGGTTACTCCCTCAGCCCTGGCCTGCGTGAATTTGGGAAATTTTCAGCTGGTTTTCTGTCTCTATTCACTCAACTCCTTGCTCTCCAGGACAAGCCAGAATTTAAAAAGGTTGGTCAATCTCATAGCCGAGGTTTACACCTTTAGATCCGCCCACTTTGTCCCGACTCTGGTCTTCCCAGACCTGAGCTAGTGTCCTAGGTCGAGCAAAAGGTGTCCAGCATCGGCTCACGAGGGGAGGTGGGGTTAGATCCCCTTCCGAACTGCATTTGTAGCTGCCAAGGAGTAGCCAACAAGCATCAGATTTATGTGCACTTTGAAAGAAGCACCGTCACCATTGGCTTTTGGAGCGGCGCTGTCGCTAGGAAGCGTGTGGTAGGGCGAGCTCAGCTTCAGGCAGAAGCAGCTCGGGCAGTTCACTGCAGGAACCTCGGGGAGGGACACTCCCCACCGCCGTGGGCGCGGCGCGCTCGCTCCCACACTCCCGCGCGTTCGAGCCCCGCCGTCGCTGCCGGGCCGCGTGCGCCCCCCGGCGCGGCTCTCGGAGCTGCAGCACCTCGGTGCCTGGCCGCCCGCCCCCTGATTCCTGCTGCTGCCGCCCAGAGGAAAGCCGGAGCGTAGACCTTTCAATTTCCCCGCTGCAGCCGGCGCGGCGGAGAGAGCCGGGAGGGTGGGAGCCAGGCAGAGAAGGCGATTCAGGAGTTCTCCCATTGCTTCGGAGTTGTGTGAGTTGGCAGCAAGCCGCTCGGGTATCCTTCCCTCAGAGCTCCGAGAGCTCGCGGCTCCTCGGGCTGCCGCCCACGCTCGCCCGCCCGGCCGAAGCAGCGGCGCTCTGGGAAGCCGAGGCTCGGAGCCCCGGGCCGGGAGGGCTGTGCCCCACCGAGGCGCACGGCGGCGCGAGCTTCCCGCACTCTCTAGGCGGCCCCATCTATCTCCTCCATGGCGTCTCACCAGCAAACGCGGATCCAGGCTTACCTGGAGAAGAACAAGATCGGTCCCCTGTTTGAGGTAAGGTGCTGTGGAAGAAAACGGTCAGGTTTCTCTGGGGGAAAGGGTGCAGAAACAAAACCAAAATCACTCCCAAAGGATGGAGCGCGGAGGAAAAAAACAAAAACAAAAACCAACCCCCCCAAAAAACACGCGCGCGGGAGAAGGCGTCCCGGGGGCCCAGTTCCTTGGCACCGTCCTGTCAGCGCCAGGTGTCCTGGAACTCGGCGAGGCGGGCGCTTCGCCAGTCACCTGGATGCGGACAGGTGAGCTCAGTCTGGCAGGGGAAGTTTGAATCGCTGTCCTGCACTTCACAGCCTCGTGTCCATCACCCAGAGAGGCTGCGACAGGTGATGCACACGGGTGCGCGCAGTGAAACTATTTTATCCACTCTCACCCTTTTCTTGAAATCCACGCCAGCTTTCGTGTTGGATTTTTATTTATTTATTTTTTAAAATATGAGTAGTAATAGAACCCGAAAAGGGAGAGGAGGTTCTTAGCTACAGGAAGGACTATGGCAAACCGGAGGCAAGCTGAATCAGTGAGGAAGGGTGGATTTATAGGCTCTGGTGTGTTGAATGAAACTAGCTGCTTGGGGGGCTGGCAGTCACCTCTGGGTGAAAGGAGATATATTTGTGTGGCAGACTCTACTTGCGTTCGAGGAAGAAGGGTTCCCGAAGAGTACACTGGTGTTTTAGGGGAAGACATAGGTGTTTCGGACCTGTTTTCACGACTCTGCAAGAAAGGACTGATGACAAAAATACAGGAGGGAAAAAAAAAAGAGGGAGAACAAGGGAAATTAAGAGCAGAGGGTAGAAACCCGCACCTGCAAAGCACCCTGCCAGTTGCATGAGCGCTGGGCAGAGGCGGGGCATGCGGGGCGGGTGAGGGCAGTGGCCGGCTGGTTGGAGCGCCCAGGATCCCTTCTCTCTGTTGGGACCTTCAATCCCGTTGCCTACAAAGCAGCTGCGAAAGACCGTGGGAGGGACGGGGTATCCCGCCCCCAGAACAGGTGTAATCGTTCTCTGGCGGAGGGGGAGGTGGGGTGAGATTGCAAATCCCCCAGTGAGGAAAATTCGGAACTGCAGCAAGAGGAGTGGAATGGATTGGAGATCGCGGATGATGGGGCAGGTTCCCTGAGTCCGAAAGGAAGCGGAAGAGCTCTGCAGAGAGAAAATTAGTACTAATGGGAAGTAGTGCCTCTGCACAAAAGGGATGCAAGAATAAGGGTGTGGCTATCTAGGGAGGAGGGTCTACAAGCAACCAAGGTTTGCACGATACCGTGCTTTTATTTTCTGCACAATTTCAGCCACTGTCTTGAAAGAGATCATTGTTCTCTGTAGCAAAGTCCTAATGGACTTTAACCTTGTTTCTTCAAGAGTGTTAGTGAAGAAACTCCCTAGAAGAGTAAAATTGAGTTGTTGTAGCTACCCCAATTCTTTGATCATACTCTTCCTTATTCCCTTATTACTACTATAGTTGTGTATGAGGGCAGACAGATCATACTTCTCTGTGAAACAATGTATTCATGGTATCTAAACAATTACAATAAATACACTTGGAGTGTGTATTTGTTGACAGCTGTGCTGGAATGTAAAACCCAGGTACCAAGCAATAGATGAATTGTTTTTAATAGTGCCAATTGTCGTTTATTTGCTAACTTGTTTAAAAAATTCTCAAGATTCTTTTCAAGTGATAAGAGAATTTGGAATATATGCAGATTTCTGCTAATTGGGGAATAAACCCAACTTGATCATTCTCACCTGCCCCTCCCTTCTCTCTTGATGCTCACCAGTTACTTCTGCACTGAAAAGTTTTCAGTGATGGATGGCAAATTATCTCATGTAAACTTTAGCTCTCTCTCTCACACACACGCAAACACTGTCGACCATATTTTATAGTTTGTAATTTGCTGAATATCTCCTAAGCAATCCGCTTGAGCTTTGGTTGTAGTAATGAGTAGTTAAAGGTTCATGAGCCCAACTTTGCAATGTAAGAGAAATAATGGGTAAATTAGGTTCTAAAAGCAGGATGGTACACAGATCTTTCTGCAAAAAAAAAAAAATTATGATAGAATTTAGCTTTCGTTTTTAATTTGTCTGTTTCAAAGACAGACAGACATCACTCTGCTGACTCACTCCCCAAACGCTCACAACAGCTGGGGCTTAACTAGGGCTAAGACCAAAGCCTGGAGCTGTGAATTCAGTCCAGTTCTCTACCACCGGCTGCTCCGAGGGTCTGCATCTCTGGGAAGTTAGAATTAAGAGCAGGAGATGGGACTTGAACTCTGACACTCTGAGACAGGATGCAGGTGTCCTCACTCCAGTGCAGACATCTGCCCCTTGACCTTTGGACAAGAATTATACACTTGTCCTAAAACTGGAAAAAAAATCTCACTAGCTTCTCACATACTGGATCATGCTGGAAAACCAGTGCAGACATCACTACTTGTGAGTGTTAGGACTTCAGGGATTTACTCAGTGGTTTTCCTAAGAACTGATTCAAGAGGTCAGGGTGTGTGTGTGTGGAAGGGGGTGGTGGTCCTAGGAGTCTGAATTTATGTAAGTGCAGCAAAAATTATTACTATTGTTTTCATTCCGGGGCCATATTTCAAGCAGCAGTCGTGCAAGGGAAACGTCAGTTCACCGATCACAATTTGAAATAGGCAATTCTAAGCCCTGTCTCTATGCTTGGCTGTGATTTGCTGTATTGAGTCACAGGAGTTGCTAATATGGTCATCCTTTCATTCTGAAAATCACAGTATCAGAGTGTTTCCTTTGTGAACTTTGTAAGTTGTAAGGTGTGTTTTAAGTGAAGTTGTTGGAGCGAGGCACCTTAAAAAAGAACACAGGAATGTTATTTAGAACAATAACAAAGAGAACGCATAACTGGTACTGTGAACCCCCAGGTTCCCATTTTTTAATTGTGGAGTTTATTTCCTTAGTTTGGCTGATTAGTTTATTAGTTTATTTCTGGTATATATATATTTTTTATCATTTGATATGTTTCGAAAGTGTTGCATGCACTACGATATTCCAAAATGACTCTGGATTGAAGTTAATTTTCTTTCCAGGCAACTTATAAGCATAGGTTTATATTACCTTTAAATGTGATTTAGGATGCTTTGAAGTATTGCAAAGTCATGCATCATGGGTAATGATGACTACTTAGGTTTTTAATAAAGAATTATGAAGATATAAGGTAAAAATGGCTTATATCCCACAAAAATCTGACACTGTTGTAAGCCGTAATCATTCTAATGTTGTGAGTTCATTTAAGTCAGGCAAGCAGGCCTAGACATCGATCTCTAACAAGTGGCCACAGTATTGGGGAACTATAGACCTAATTTAATTTCCACGTGTCATTCCTGATTTAACTGGCAAGGTATAGAAGCGTTTAGCTCCCAGCAAGGCAGAATATTCTACCTAGGCAAAGTGCAAGGTACAAACAAGGTACTTGTAGAGGCCTTCTGTCAAACCCTGAGGCCAGCCAGTTGACAGTTGAAGTTGTCCGAAAATCTGAAACTAAAAGTTGTCTGGCATGTAGCTGTTATTTTGGGTTAAAGTAACCCATTTTGCCTATAGTGTAAGCAATTCTACTAAATTCTAGACAGAGTGTATGATGTGGAAAATCATAATAAATTTCTTCTTTTTCACATAAAGGAGCATACCATGTTGAGTTCTCCCATTCCCATCAAATAGGACAGTTATTTAAGCATTGTTGATTGGAAGGATGTACAGGGCAGTCACATGTCTCGATTCAGGTCTCGTCTCTCTCTGGGGAGTGTGGTTTCCCAAAGCCCTAAGCAGCACAATGATGGGGGCCCCCAGCAAGTCACTGTTGACTTTGTGCACCGAGGAAGTGGCAAACGAGCCACATTGCTGCTGGTGTGCTCTGACTCGGTCTAAACGGAATGAAGCCATTTTGTCAGTGTAACTGTTCAGCTCAGAATATGTCAACTCCTGTGATCTGCATTGGTGTAACTGATGGGAAACACATATTATCAGGAGGGACCTGTCAGGCTTACAGCCACCGTAAACCCACTTTTATGCAGTTGAGACACTTGTGTATGTCTGAAAACAAACACTTCTTGTGATTACAATAGAAGTTGAAAGTATGCCATTGCCCACATTAATACAAAAATAAGAAAGGAAGCAAATGGAGCATGGAAATTATCCTTATTTTCCTAAAACTGTATCTGTGAAGTACATGAAAGATCTCTTGATATAAATAAATAACTAAGCAAACAAACGAACAAACAAACTCCGTCCATCTTGGCTACATTATATGGCTGTGTAGAACAGTGGAGTTGAGGAAAGGTATGAGTTCCTCCTTTATGACCAGAGGTAGAATTCCCCCACCCCAATTTATCTTTTTTTTAAAAATTTATTTAATTTTTATTGGAAAGTCATATATTCAGAGAGGAGGAGAAACAGAGAGGAATACCTTCTGTGTGTTGATTCATTCCCCAAGCAGCTGCAATAACCAGAGCTGACCAATCCAAAGTCAGGAGCAAGGAGCCTGTTTCGGGTCTCTAACACCAGTACAGAGTTCCAAGGCTTTGGGCTGTCCTCAGCTGCGTTACCAGACCACAAGCAGGGAGCTGGATGGGAAACAGGGCTGTCGGGTTTAGAACCAGCACCGTTATTGGGTCCTGGCGTGTTTAAGGTGAGGACTTTAGCTGCTAGGCTACCACGCTGGGCCCTCAATTTATCTTAATGCTTAAAAAAAATAGATGTAGAAAGATGTAAAAATTTCACTACAGTTAAAAAATAACTAATGAAACAATTTTATTTCTACAAATGTGTTTCATAAAATATTTTCACATATGAAAATTTTTTGTAGGGCATAAATTGGACATTATATGAAATGATCCAGAGTGGTGAACCCTCTAAATGTCTGGGGAGAGAAGAATATCTAGATTACTGTTTACGCATGGATTTTGTTTCTTTTATTTTATTAAGCAGGAAGAGAGGAGGAAGTGAGGGAAGAGAGAGATGATGACTATGTGTGTGTGTGTG